GTCATGTTGTAAATTTTGTATTTACTGCCACCCGGTAAACAAAAAATTTACAACATGACAGTAACTTAAACACAGTCAGCAATGTGGAACTATACCTTAGTATAGAACACTTTCTTCGAGGACAAGAATTATTCATTCTGTGTTACTCGATACAGGTATCCTCGTCTGCAATGAGCTATGATAGATTTCTATTGTATATATAAATTAAAATTTAATTCATTGTATTACATTGCTTTTCTTTCGTCTGTATTATGAGTATTTGTCTGGGATATTGCGCTGGAAAGTACACGTATTGCATTGTATTTTATAGGGATATGCAAAAATATCGATATACTTTATATTGCGATTCATTAACAAAAATATCGTATTGCGATACATTTTTCTAGTACCGATATACCGGCAAACTGCTTGGGCTTTATATTTCCTAAGTAAAATATGAAATTAAGTATGTCAGAAACGTTTTCAAGCGTGCCAAACAGTACTAAAGGGTAAGGCTGCTGTTGTATGGTTGCATTTCGTTTCAAACTGTATAGTGAAATCAACAATCTTTTTTTTGCAACAATTTATTTATGCTAGTTTACACATGTTGCTTATAGATGGAGGTTAATAAAATAAGAAAAAGAACATTTTTACTGTCTTTGAATATATTGCAATACATATCACAATACAGTTCAAAATATTGCAATATATCGCAATACGAAATTTCCAGCCGATACACAGCCCAAGTATTTTATGAGCTTAATATATTCAGAAAAACAAACCTGTACTGAGTCAATGTTCTAATTTCAGATATAAAGTTTTCAAACAGTATTATTACATATTAGTATCTGCACTCCCTTGGATATCATTTATATATTTTGTATCCTAATTAAATATTTATTAATGTAATTTGTTTGTGGTGTGCTTTTATTATATCCACGAATATATATTGTATAAAATTAACACATATTAAAGAAAAAGAAAATGTACAGACATTACCATTATATATATATATATATATATATATATATATATATATATATATATATATATATATATATATATATATACATGAAAATGCATATCCAGTCCAAATAAGGAGTATTGCAGCCAGTAGTTTCACAGGACATTCATACACCAATATATCATACAAGGAATTAAGCTGTCCTAATATTTAGTCCAACTTGTACATATATATTCCTAGGTATTTTTTTCCTCACTGGATAAGAAGCAAATACAAATACAAATTCGAAGGCAATGAATGTCAATCAGATTTAGCGCAAATTAGAAACATGCAATATTTTCTTTTTCAATCCGGCTTAAGTTCTTTTTTTTTCCTAAAGGGGGAGTAATTAGGAACTTTTTCTAGACGGTATTTAAAAATTTGAAAAGGCTTCATATCTTTACACTCCGTTTATATTGACAACGAATTAGTTATTCGTAACTTGTCGAATTGGAGCACTAGATCATTAAGAAACAACTTGATGTCATTTAAATAAAAAAATAATGAACAGTGCTGACAAACTACCAAATAATCCCACATTTTCGAGAAGGAAATTAAGAACAACAATGTAGTAATTTCAAAGATTTAGAAATTCTTTGTCGGAATGCTAGATAATTGTACTTTGAACAGTATGACCTGATAGAGGTTCAAATTAAAAATGATGTAATGACTTCATTGCATTCCTTGGTATGACTTAAAAACAAATGAAAAGTGTAGGAGTTAATTACATACAATCTGTGAATTGAGCTTTCTTTCTATGACGTCACATAAAACAGTTGATCTTATCGCCTACTATAATGTTTAACCGTACTGCAAATGCTGCTTTTTTCAAATTCACTTTTGTAGAGTCAATAGTTTTGATCAATAATATCAAGTTTACGCTATAAGAAAAAAGTACATTTCAGCGTGTGAGTGAGGCAAAAATCGATGAATAAAGGTTTGCTGCATCAGTGTGTTAAAAAAGCAAAAAAAGTTTGAAATTTCCATACACTCATAAACAATGATTAGTTCATCAAGAAGAAAATTCAAGGATAAAAATTACAAAGTTCCATTAAGGCTTTCTGAATCTTGAAGAGTCGCGTCAAACCGAAGATGTAAACATAGGTATATATATATAGTGACTGTTCCTTCGCCAAGCGCTCGGCACTAAAAGTGAAAGTCACGGGTCTCTTGGATGAGACCTGTTAAAAAACCGAGGTCTTTTGCCACGGTAGGCGTTGGCACGATAAAGAACCCTCACTGCTCAATGGACCTGAGTACCGAGTACATGTCTTAATTTGAAGCCCTTCACCGATATATGGTGACGTCTATATATGAGTGACAAAATCTCGAATGGGACATAAAACAAAACACAATCAATTAATCAATCTTGGAGTCGGACACATGTGCTACATTTTATGACTAAAGAGCTGTTCTCATACAGAATATAAGCAAACAAAATTGAAAAATAAAAAAGGACAGAATGCATTGCGTATTTTTTTGAGCATGTGAGTGAAGATTCATTTATAAAACATTGATTAATCTTAGTTAAAAAATGGATGCAAAAATGTATGTCTCTGTGTGTAGAAATTTATGTCAATAAAATAGATCCATATATATATCTGCCTGCAATAAGTCATAAAATTTCATTTTATGAAAAGTGCAGTAGGTGGTGGTGTAGGTACTTTATTCTATGAAAGAAATATTTTTGGATTATAAGGATATCATATGTTGTATATCAATGTCGTATATGCAACACATAGCTTCCTGGTATAACCTCGAACACTCGGTGTTCCACCAATGATATTGCCTCAGGTTATCTTTTATTTGACTCTAATATCAATGACATTTTCCCTTTGACTTTGATATATACATTACATAGTTTGAATAAACATTTGTAGAGACAGCTTTTATGCAAGCAACAAAATTAAAAAAAAATTACCATTATACTCAAAGACATGTACATACCGACGGCCTACAATATATGCAGTGATGGGAGATTCATATTGTCGCCGGCGACAATTTATTAGGAGACAGAATATACGGTCATATTCCTTCATTCATATGTTTATTTCCGAACAATCAGGGAAGTATATGATATTATTCTCACTAGATGAAATCCCGCGCAAGCGCGGGGAATTGAATTTATACCACTACCGACAAAAAATATATTGTAGTTCTCTACTGACAGCCTACAGGCTTATAGCAGGAACAAATACTTTGATCAAAATCCCGCATGAAGTAGATTTACCTATCCTCCCCCCCCCCCGTTTTTTGTTTTGTTTTGTTTTTTTTTTAAACTTGAATATTGGAATTTCATTAATTGATGTTTATTGTGAAACCTGTCATACTATGTTATGGATATTGTACTTCAGATGCTCTTATTTCATTTCCGTCAAGGATAAAAGCAACGAAGGGGGTGTAAAAATTCACAGGTACTTGTGTCTTGGTTTATAAATATGTTTGTACCTTATTGATATGTAAAAATGTACTTTACTTTTTTACCTATCAATATGGTACATACATTTTTATAAACCAAGAACCAAGTACCTGTGTAAAGATTAGCTTTTAACGCCCTATGAATAGGCTGAGTATTTGATACAAAAGACTAAGCAATAATGTAGACCTCTCCGATTTTTTTTTTGGATCTGATATTTTCTGGCCTCTCTCTCTCCGCCCCCCCTCCCTCAAAAAAGGAGAGGGCTACATTATTGCAGCTATAAAAGATTGTATTCAGAAATGAACTTTGCATTTATTAAAGTGCAAAATTTCACATCTTAAATTGTATTTGAACAATACCTTATTCATTAATTTTCTCTTTTCATGTAAGCAAGTTTATTACGAAGTACAAATTGTACTTCGGGTTCGTTGCCACGATGCTCTCAGTAAGGAATATATACAAATTTTACCGATAAATTTATTAGGAAAACCTACTACATACATTTATATGTAATAGTCTTTCGATAAATGATTATATTCACAACTTATAGTGTTATCAGTGATTTACCATTATTTCAATTATGGCCATTTACACAAAAGCTTTTTTTATGGACATGTAGCTATAATCGCCTCGTTTTTTTCTTAACATCGGGCTCGATGCTATATGATGTTCTAGAAGCTTCCATCAATATAAAGATCGGTGAATGACGAAAATATTTTGCAGATTTTCCTTTTTAATCGGTTATCACAACTTATTTCTTTTATATCATTTAAATCGAGTTTTGATTGAATAATTCAGTGATGACGTTTTATGTAATAAATAAACGATTGCTTGTTGTCAGTTTCATTAAAAATTGCCAGTAACTTAGATCCGCCAACCGGAAACGCCACCGTACTCACGTTTTAGCTATTTCAAGGCTGTTTATAGAAAATGAAAGTAGACTTTTGATTTAATGTACGATACTTACTATGCGAGTGAAATCTAAATATAGTTTACGGACATCAACTTGTATCTAGTGTATTGTTAGAGAAGTAAGTAAGGACTCTGGTGCACCCGTTTCGGAGTTTATTTGCAAAATTTATTAATTTATAAGTATAGATTTTCATTATAATTGCAATATCATATATAATTTTCTCATGTATGATTTTATGATGATTCATCCAGTCATAACTGCTTTGCACTCACTTCTTAAACATATATGAAAGAATTTCTATAAATTTTAAAAATATTTTGAGTTATGAAATGAATTTATCAATTGATATTTTATATCGATTTTAAGAATTTCGAACTTAAGTTAAGGAAGAGTTAGTCTTAAGTGCAGAGCTAATGAACCACATTAAATAACCTTTAGTACAAAATCACAAAGTACTCTCTACAACGCTGTTTACAAACATCTAAAGCAGCTGATGTAGGAGTCATTCTTCTTTATTCTTTGTCATATCAATGATTTACGTATGTAACATCTCTCCCTTTATATCAGAATACACAAGAATACTTGGAAGTCAACTAATTAGCTCACGTGTTCTCGTACCCATTAAAGTTTTCTCTTTCAGGCAATAATATTTGACGCTGTTTTGACATAGGACATATATTTTATTATATTCAACTTAATTAGCCTGCGAAAAGCAATGCTTTCCGCCCACAAAGGTGTGGAAAATCGCAACAATTCATTCAAGGTCATCATCATCAACATCTGCCTTTGGTGTGTCCAGCATCACCTTGTCTATAGGGTATTTGATATTGGTCACTGTATATGATTTCAGGTCTTCACTGCTCATGTCGATGTTGTCTAACATTTCATCTACAGATTTACTGAAAAATTAAAATCCAAATAATTATATGACTTGTTAAGGTGTAATGAAAGAATTTCACATCATCACAAAATAAAGGAACGGTTTATGTATTGTTTAATCTGAGGTTATCAAAAAGAGCCACATTTACATGAATAAAAAAAAGAGTATCTAACAAATTTATATTGTGTTACATATAAATTTCTTAATGTAAAAAGCTTTTTTTTCTAATGAATTAATGAGCTTGATCTGACTATAAGTTCTTCTCCATGATGTAACATAATGACAAAAGCTTAGAATTGGAACTAATGCTTTCTTTTTAAAATATTTCATATATTTCTTTTTTGAAATATTTCTATGACATAGAAATATAGTAATTTGATAGTTGAAAGTACTCCTGTTAATTTTGAATTTTTAACACTTCTGTAAACATTATATAAACAAACTATTCCTACTTTTCTGTGTCTAAGTTAACTAGAGAGTTTCTTCTTGCTCATATATATAAAATTAATATTTAATAAGTATATTGTATCTGAAAGGCTAGCTATAAGGTTGAATGTTAAACTTTATACTGTTGTACTTCATATCTATGTGTAGTTCATATCCTCATAAGCAATGAAATTGACTGGTGCAAGAACTCCAGTTGTGATGGAGTGGGAAATTAGCCCATAAATTCATGCATTACAATCATGGATACATATTTATCTTTATTATAGAGTTGAGCCTTGTTGGAGTTCACTGTTCAACGGACAGAACTACGCAAAATGTAGGTCGCAAGAAGATGGTCAGGCACCTAATATAGTACTTTTGTATCCGGGGCCATGATATGAACAATAATCATGCTATCGTGAAACAATACAAATGTGAATAAAGCAAACAGGTCTTCTAAAATCATCATCAGAGGTGGAATAAGGTGCCTTGGAGGAATGAGTATCCCCTGTCTACCGGTCACAACCGCTGTATGGCCCTAACATTGTTATGATCGGACCAACGGAGAAATCTGAAGACAATTCAGTATGAAAATAATGCCTCAACAAATTGATGAAAAAAGCAAGTTAAACTCGACCTAACGACAGATTGTTTTTGCAAATAAAGCCATTGTTTGAACTATAGAATATTTCGAAATATTGACTTCAAACGAGATTGCAGATAATTTTGTATCATCAGCTTATTTGCGAGTAATCTGTCTTGTTTTAGAAATTGTTCGTACGTAGAACATACTCTTGCATATCAAATCAATTTGGAGGATAAACCTCATATGCAGGTGATAATGGTACACAAATAAGGAAAGTTGACAATAGAAAAGTTGAAGTCACCACGTTCATCATACAGTTTAGATGTTAGTTTGTCATCAATGTCTTTCTTTAGTAAAACATTCAAACATGAAACAGATGCATCAGACTCTGTGGTGTCTTCAAGTTCAATGGGATGTATCGAATCAACGTAGGAATGCAAATGAATATTGTTAATCGATAAAACGTCATTGATATATCTAAATATTGAATTGAAGGTCACAGCAAGAAACGTCCTCTTTTCATGTAGAAATTTTGAAATACTGCTTCATTAGAATACAAAACAAGGGCTCAATATTAGTACTCTCTGAGCATAAGACACTGCTTGCTGGGGGATCTTTTTCTCCTTGAATTTACGGCCACTGGTGGTCGTATTTTGAATGACATATTTCTTGCCAATTGGGAGGTCATTGTTTTATACCAAATTCAACTACGGAATACTCCGTTAATTCAGAGACCCCGAGGCTGGTGTGACCCGTACACAGGGGATACTTACTCCTCTAGTGAATCGGATCTCACCTCTGGTGTGTCCAGGAGTCAGTACTTTTTTGCCCTGTTTATGATTCTTATTGTTTAATATTTAAGTAATATTGTTGTATTGATGTATTATATTGATCATTGTACGTTACATGTATCTCCATATCTTTCAGATTTTTTGAGACTTTTTTTTGCTCTTCCACTCTTTAGGTCTTAATTTCATATTTACAACCGATCGTCATCGTAGCTCAGTCGGTAGAGCACTCGCTCCGTGATCGGAAGGTCGTGTATTCGAATCACGGCCACGACCGACCTAAGTCGATAAAAAATAGGTAGTAACTGTTCCTTCGCCAAGCGATCGGCACTTTGAAAAGAAACTTCGGATGAGACCTTAAAAACCGAGGCCCCGTGTCACGGTAGGTGTTGGCACGATAAAGAACCCTCACTGCTCAATGGCCCTGAGTGCCGAGTAAAGGTCTAAATTTGAAGCCCTTCACCGGTATATGGTGACGTCTCTATATGAGTGAAAAATTCTCGAATGGGACTTATAACAACAATCAATCAATCAATCATATTTGCAACCTTCTTGGACTTTGGCAGTATTTAGACTTATCCAATAATTTTTTGTATATCAGGAGTATATTGGTTTACTCTGATGATATTCCTGAATTGATGCATTAAAAACTGAAGATCACGGTGTATTGAATAAACTTTTGAAAACGTAAAAGTTCTTGTTGGATTACAGAAGTCAGACACTATTCGATTAGAAAAGATCCTTCAACAAGCCTTTTTATATTAGTGAGCTAAGAATTCAATGAAGTCAGACCTGTAAAAATTCTCTTGAAACGTTAAGAACAGGTCTGCGGTATATAGACCAGTTTGCAATAATGCATCTGTTTTCCATTCTCGGGAAGCAAACGATATAATAAAATTGTCTCCCTTAGGTTCTAGTAGAGTTCGCAGATTATCTACAAAATATAAATATGACATGGTTTTGAAATAAAAAAAACTTTCCTTAAATTTCAATACTATTAAATCGAAAAAATGTTAAGAATTGTTTAAAAATAATTACCGCTTTTGGTTTTAGCCTTTATCGCTATAGGAGCGTATTTCCGTTTCCCATCAATAAGTGTAAAACACTTGACAACATACGAAGTAGATGACCACAGATTACCAAATGTACAATGAAATGATACAGAAGTATCTTTAATAATCATCCCCTTTTGTCTATTTCCATCTTCCCTTTCTAGGAAAATATGGTACTGTAATAACTCTGTAGAATTTTCAGGAAGGACAGCACTTTCCCAAGTTAGTGCTATTTCTGATGAAGTCACTCGGTGTTGTAAATTAGTTGGCCCTTTAAAATTAAACTGTGCAAATAAGTGCTAAATATCAATTCTTATATATATATATATATATATATATATATATATATATATATATATATATATATATATATATATATATATATATATATATATATATATATTCCTTTTGCTGACATCAAATTGAAACAATTCAAAGAACCAAGTGCTGTATATCAAACAATTCGAATCAATACACATAGTGAGCTGAGCACAGTTTCAATATCTTATTTTTAAGCAGTACTAGTAGATTCTCTTGATGAATTCCTTAAAGTTTACCGAATTTTGGTGTCCTGAATGTTTTGACAGACGGGTCTCCTTTTTCTTTGTTTTTGACGGACACCTCGTATTGAACATCAGGAAGTAGATCTGTAAGACGTATAGAACATTCGGACGTCCTCAAACGCATAGTCCTCTTCATTATCGTAGGGTCACATTTATATTCTACAATGTATGTATTCTCCGTTGCCCCGGATTTAAAGTTCTCTGACCAAGTTACTATGACCTCGAAGGACGATACAAATGTGATTTCAAGATTTTCTGGATTGCCTATAAAAATAAATAAATGGAAACTAATTGTTCAATTTATAGAAATATAATAAAACTGCGTTTATAAATTCCCAATTCAGTTTTACTAATCTTCGCCGTTCTAGGGCATTAATGACAACTCGGTAGCAATGAATTAAAGTTAGAGTTATTTACCTTTGGGAAGTGTCCTTACTTTAACCTGTTGTGTGTACATCTTCCTTTGATGGTAAATCGATACAAAGTAGGTCGTATCACTCTCAAGATTAACAATTTCATGAGTTTGGCGACATTCAGGTCCGAGCTTGAGAGGAACTGGTTTAAACTTTTTCTTCTTTGGATCTGAGGGTTTACAATGTGCCGTGTAGGTGGAAACCATTTCTCTATCCTGTATATCCACCCACCAAATTAGCTCACACGAGTTACTTGTTTTTGAGGAGACAAACAGCCTCAGTGCTTTATCTGTAAAAACTCAAAGCTTTAGGGTTTTCCTTTATAAAATGAAAATTAAAAAAGAATGAAAAATTTCGAATTTTATTTCTATGTGTCTAAACATAAATACTTGATTTTAAAGTTCTTGTAAAAGTACTGGAAATTTTCAATTATTTTATATAAAATAAATGCTATGATGTGGGGTAAATTAATATGGATTACTTTTGTATAAAAGAGTGAAGATAATTGCGTAATTGATTTAATTTGCATATGATTAAATAAAGTAAGAATTTTGAAACAAGATTGTAAGTCTTGACGTTCACCATCTTGTAAGATAAAAATCTTTCTTATTGTTTGAGATAGTTGCTGTGGGTAATATAGGGAAAAGCGCATGTGAATTTTTTTTGTTGATGAAATATAATAACAAAGTTGTCGTATTCAGTACAAACATTTTTAATCGTCGCCACTTGAAAATATATTTTTTTTAACGACATTTTAATTTTTTTAGAATAATAAGCCTTATTGCTATATGACTTTTTTATTTACAAAACTGTAAATGAATTTCTTCATACATTACCGCTATATTTATTTTTTGGCGACTGTTCTTGGTAAATTTTCATAAAATAATTCATAAAATATAACATCAGACTAACACCTGACTATAACATTAACTCTGAAATCGATAATCTCTTTCTCAAATGAAGCGTGATAAAACCTCCACTTTCTTAAATACACCCGAAATGAAAGCATATGTTGATTGTTTTTTTTCTAAAGTTAGTACATAAGAGTTCATATGTCAATATTTTGAAATTGTGAAAGAAATCCGTTAACTAAATGCAGGAAAAACCAGAAAAATAAATATTCAGGTAACTGATAAATGGATTTACTTTCAGTGATAGACACAACTTTGAAATCTCATAGAATAAAAGGAAATATTTCACAAAAATATCTTTTGTTTGTTAAAAAAAATATCGGTCACTCACCAGTTTCAATTCGAGCAATAAGCGACTCATGAAGTTTTACAGTAGGGGAATCTGAGAAATAAAAATGAAAGCACGTGCAGTTTGTTTATATTAATACATTTAAAAAAAGTATATTTGATTGCCATAAATCAAATTCAAACGTAAAAGATAATTTAAGGCACTTACTGTCCTGGGCTATTGGTGAAACTTTAATGTAATGGTAAAAAAGCTCTGGTATATAGGTGACTGGTAAACTCCGGAGGTCTTTCATTACATCGAAAGACCTTGTGCGGTTTTTTCTGAAAGACAAGCATTCTGAACAATGGACGATAAACTTTTCAATATGTTCTTGTTTATCTATAGGAAATTGCCAGTCCACCCAAAACACCGAATGTGATTCTGCTATTGCTGTCACGTGGGTAGGTCTCAAAACATCTGAAAAAAAAAATTAGATACTTAAAATAAAACAGTCACTAAAATGATTTATTTTTAAAAAAAATGATTTACTTTGGAAATGTTATCAAGGGAAAAATCAGCCAAATATAATAAAGAACCAATAAAATGTAAGAAATACTTTCATACGCTAGGCTTGCAAGTTTACCTTGAAAATATGGGACATGGTAACTGAGAGGGAAAAATGTTTTGTCATATGCCTTAACAGCAACTTTAACCAGCTGTTCTGAATTGGACTGTAGACCATTAAGTATACACGATGTTTTCTTTGTTTCCATTTCTGAACGTTTTGTGAGATTAGTCTGATCTACCCAAGAAATGACGTAGGACAAATGACTAGTTTTTCTGATCCCAGGAGGGTTCCAGAACATCAGTATCTCATTTTCGGAGAGTCTTTGTGCACACAAATTTCGAACCTCTAAAATGTCTGTATCTGTCAAAGAATATAACATAAGATGTATATTTTCATAATCATTGATTTTTTTTTTCTAAATTTGTTTTATAAAAAGTTTAGAGGAATACCTTTTAGTCTCGCCTTAGTTTTAATTTTTGCGTAAACTGAACTTCCGTATGGCTTTCCTTCCTTTCCAAGAACTGGTGTTACATGAAATCTATAATGGGTGTTTGGTTCAAGATTTTCAAATTCTATTCGAGTGTTTGGTTGAAATACTTCCATTACTTTATTTAAGCCTTTGAAACACTCTATGTGAAACTGGACATCACTCTCGTGGTACCGTGGTGGCGTCCACTCAAGAACAACTTCCCTTGACGAGTTTTCCATTACTCGTACGTCCGCACTTTTCATCGATGGCACTGTGTTGTTTTAATCATGAATTAAAATTTTAAGTTAAATGCATGTTTGAAAATATATGTTTGAAAATACTTATGTTACATTTTTTCTTATTTGTGAATTTAATTGTTGAAAATAAAATAGTGAAATTTAATCAGAACGATTGAGTGTTGTGTGTCTTTCCAGTTTTCTAAGCACAGAAAAACTTGCTGGTAAATACTGTTACCTCTTGAAGAAGGAATATTTATGATGTCAACAAGAATGACTTTTGGCTTACTGCCAAACTTCTCCCTGGTTTGCTTGTAAATTTCGTGAAAGGACAGCAATTCTCCATCACATCCATAAAATCCATTGTAATCGCCGAAACCTACGAGGACACACACGAACATTTCAAACCCGTCAAACATTTTACTTCTATCCAAAGCTTTGAACCAGTCTCGCACCTTTTCCCTTGGTTGATTTTCCAATTTGACAACAGTTTTGAAACGTAAGGTCTTGTCGAAGAAGTCAAAAATTTCTCCTACACAAAGTGTAAGAATACATGCTGATCAATGAAACCGTAAAATAAAAATCAGATCTAGTGTAAGATATTTGACATAGTGAAGAAAAATCTATACAGCTCAAGAAAATCAAGAAAATAAAACCCGGTAACTTTGGATTTAAGTTATCAAATGTGGCAACATCGTATTAATGTACGTGTATCTGTCATTAAGCGCAATACTTGATTTTATGGGCAATTATATTTATAAATCTTAAATCTATTATTTGCACACAATAAAAAAGGGATTAAATTTTTCCTGAGAATCAATAATAAGCCTTACTCACGTGCTCTGATATTTAGCTCAGTATGCATCCCACCTTTATGGTCATTAATAATTATGACAGAAAGCTCTGAAAATAATAAATACAAGAAATAAAGATTACTAGTTTCTAAGTTATTATCTGCTTTTCTAGTAATTATACAAAGTTTTATTCTTACTTCTTTGAGCGTACTCTACAGGGGAGTCACGTGGTGAATCAAGTGAGTGTAATTCTTCTTTGTCGTCCTCTGTCGTAGGTGGCAATGGTTCTAGAAAAAATATGTTATTTTAATGTAAAGGAACTAAAACAGTCGACGAACTGGTACTTAAGTAAAAGCGGAGCTGCAACTTGTGTATATATAAAAGGAGAATTCAATATTGGAAATAAAATTCAAAAAATTTATGTAATATGTATAAGTATACGACTTGGGTTGATTCATATTAATAAACTTGTTATGAAAATTCCTGATAAATTGAGAATTTTCTGATAGCCTATAATGAACCAAAATCAAACCCCAAAAATTATATATGGTTTACCATTTAATGAAATTAAATTGATTTTTGGCGGACGCACACTCTCTCTTTTATCTGTTTCCACCCACAAATTACTTTCAACACAGGATGGTGAATTTCACTAGGCATCGCAGGTAAGCAGGAGTGACCATTTAAGTGACACAATTCAAAAAGCAGAATTTACTTAGAAATGCGACCTTCCTCAAAGTGGAGACACTGAAAGGTACATAATTCGCCGCACTTATTGATAAGATGGAAGAAAGGTAAGAGAGAAAAAAATTAAGAAAATGGTAAAACTGTAGATTGGCATCAGCGTTAAGAGTCCTGGGAAATAAGGACCCAGCTGGTTCCTACTGATTGTGAATCCCGGTTAGTTTAATCTATTTCAGATTTACTGTACCCAGTATCTGGGTAAGGAACACAGTAGCAAATCCAGCGGTTACCTAGTGATCTAAGAATTCATCTAACCTCAATAATAAGAATTCCATATAATTAAATGGTAATTATGACCCAGAGAGGTTAAAGAAAACACTGTACTGCATACATAAAAACTGAATTGTAAACTTAGGTAGATTGAGAGCAAAACTCATCTTTCATTATACAAAATGTTATTAATTCACCATCACCACCCCCATGAACATCCAATTGTTTTCTCTGCTTAAAATGTGTGTTTTATTCTCGAAATATTTACATTATGTTGATATTATTTAATGCATTTGGGCTGGTTTGCATACTCAGTCTCTTACAATGTCTTTATTATACTCAGAATAGCTGGTTTGAATACCCAATCATTAAGATTTGTCTTTTCTAAATGATTATATTATTTGTAATTTGTACATTATTAGTAAATATTATAGATTATATGTATCAAAATTAATTCGTTATCTCCATTTTCATGCAAAATCTAGATAAAAATCATTTAAGAAACAAATACCAGTTGTCACATCTGTCTGCTCTGATGGAGATATAATCCTCTCCCATAAGGCGGCAACCTTGACCTCATACGCTGTTTCCGGAGCCAGGTTTTTGATGATATAAATGAGTTTCGTACTTTCACCCCTCCGCCAACCTTTCTGCTCCCCTTTCTTTCTCCATTGAATTATATATTGTATGTCATTGAATTCTTCTTTCGGAAATATTTCCCATGTTACTTTCACTTCTTTTACTCCCGGTGTCACGTTTAGTGTCCGGACACGAGGAACCTTTGTTTTGTTTCTGCGAATGGGTTTCTTATCTGTGATAATAAAAACAAAATAAATCTTACTTGGATAAAAATATGTGTTCTTTTTATCAGGAAGAGAAAAACACACTTTCTTATTTTTAATCGTAACAGGTCAATGCTATTCAAAGAGTAAACACGATGTCCTTCCCGATATGCCTTATTTTATCAAATAGCTATACAATATACATTACTAGTCATGTATTTTATATTAATTGATAAAACAAAGCGTATCAGGAAGGATAATAACTCACGGATCACTACTTTTTTCTCCTTTGGCTCTTTAGCAGGTTGAAAGCGACTTGGACGTGGATGTTGTTTTTCAGATGGCTCTTTTTCTTCTTTGGCGATTGACTCATCTTCCCCTGATTCCTCGTCTTCAATAACAATGTAAATGTGCAATTTGATTACAATATAAAGTCATGAAAATAATTTTTTGAAGAAGAAAGAGAAGTTGAAAATAGAACAAGGAATCTCTAGGGCACGTCCAATCTAGCAGTGATACTAGGTTCAACCTTGCATACAGACCCCCCCCCCCCCCCCCCACACACACACACATATATAATTATGATTTCAGAAAATATAGTTAAAGCAATACAAGCGTTTAAAGAGAGGTTGGTCAATAAATTCCACGAAAACCTGAAAACAAAATTAAGGAAAAGTAAACTCACTCATTCATGTCTAAATTTACATTGTTTTTGGTTTTCTTGTGCATTACTTAAGAATAAGCTGCAGGAGTGTAGTTGTCGATCAAATTTCTATAATGATTGTTTTTGATACGCAACATTTTAAATATTTGGAAAGTGTATATTTGATCAAAAACCTGTAACAGTGTTTGGAGATTGAGCCATTCAATGTATCAAAACCTTTAAAAAGATAAATATGAAATAACAAATGTTCAGTTGTCTTCACTTGAACATTTAAGTATCGTAATAAATTTCCTCAAATTTCTTATTTTTTTTTTTTTTTTTAGATTTAATCGCAGATATTTACAAAAAAACCCCTTCAATTGGAATATTTTACTGATGAATCCTGCTACTACTCTGCCGGTGTATGGTATTTAGTAGATAAAAGTGTCACTTGAAAATTGTTCAAAACATTACTGTGAAATATAGTTCAAAAATTTCAATTTTTTGTGGTTTTAAAAATTTCGAAAGGAATTCTGAAGGGTAACAGAACTTGAATCACCATTACAACAAAATTTTAATGTTTTAAAGATTTCTTCAGCAAAATTTAGTCCAGTCAGTGTAAATAGTCTAAGAATCACGTTAAAGGAATAGCAATTCAATGCTAAAGCAATATTTTGGGAGCACCTTGGATGGCACGGATGCGAATAGCAAGCATATCACATCTTGTGGCCCATTTTGTTTGGAGGTGCCATCTTTTTGATATATTTTTCTTAACAGTTTCGATCTTATTGTTTTATAGGAAATTTTTCTAGTCATTTTTGGGGGGATCAGACATTTTTTATATTTTACGTAACTTTCAATCTGAGCTTGTGAGTCTGATCCCCCTTCTTTTGTGTAAAGTTTTTTCTTTTTTACCGTCATTTAAATAAATGACATTATTCATCTCTGTGAATGTGTTTGAGTTAATCTTTATAAAAATAAGCAAAAACTAGCTGCGGTGAGCCTGCCGAGCATTAGAAGACATAAAATATTTTGGGAGGACTATTAAAGTTTAGAACCATTAATTGCCATAAAAAAAGCAAAACCATCCATACAACTGCCTCCATTAAATCTTCCTAAAACTTTCAGGATAGTCATCATGAATCAGTAAGTGTTTCAACCTTTCTTGAAATGTTGAAATTGGACATAAATTAAGTCTTAAAATGTAAAGCTAAGGATGTGGGGCTATGTGAATGATACTCAACATTTTTGACTGGATACATTCTGAAATTCATAAAAAATATATCGATTGATAATTGAATTTCGTAAAACTTCATAGGTTACTAGGCTAAAAAGAATTTTATACAGTGTATACGAACAATTTATATATAAATCTAATCTATCATTTGCTAATTATGACCAGTTGAATTGCATGATCTAAAATAAGGGGTATGGGATATTATACTCTCTGTTTTGGCATAGCAGCTTGGTCCACGAATTAGTAAAATATATTGATTTAAATTTTTATCTAATTTAATTGTTAGAAATGTAGAACACATGATAAATAAAAACTCTTAGTATAATTTTATTCTACCAAGCCTTTTATTAATCTCTATTAGACACAGTGTATTCTTCTGTTAATACCTTTGTATTTAATCAAGAACTGTTTGGTATCAAATTTATCCACTGTAATTAGACTGTGATGAGTTAGAGGCAAATAGAACTGTTTGTCATGGTCTCTCAGCACGAACCACCTTTGATGGGTTTAAAGGGACACACACACAAAACTATTTGGTGCTGAGATACGCCATTACTGTACACTGTGAAGATTGTATCTAAGCACAGTTTTTCTGATTCTTTTGAAGTGATTGAACACTTTGTTCCAGAGTTCATATCTGTCGTCATAAGACAATTTTTCTTACATTTTTTAAACTTTATTTTATCTACCAATGACCAAACTTTATTAAATATTAATTATTTAAAGAATAGAAATGTAAAACATATTAAAATCAAATTTTATAAATTGTCAAAAATTAAAATAACTTTAATAATTGTTCCTAAGACATGCTAACTCAAGATATTTTCATGCACATTCATTTCATGCATTATGTCCAGGACATTTTTTTGTAATCGTGACAACATACCAATTTTGACTTCATCTGTCTCCATTTGAATTACTACAGAAAATTGTCATATTATGAAAAAGAAATAACTCCAACCGATTCCGTTCGAAGAAAAAGATGATCGAATTTAGTGAGGAAAAATTCATAAACAACTTGAAGATAGATATCAATAATTATTATGCAAATCGAACTTACCAACTGGTAAAGAGGGCTGTGGGCTCTGTTCTTGATAATTATTTGAACGACAAATAATAGTTCAAACTTTAAAATGTTTTTTTTGTACTTAAGTATTATTCAAATATCTTTTAAAACTTTATGGTCAAAATGTTAAACAGATAACATATTATTATATCAAATTCCCGATACATGACACCGGTCATTGTTTTCTGTTCCAGTTTTGAACAAACATCAACATGACATGTCATATCGATATGCTCTTTGTCTGTGGGGAATTTTTAACGGGGGTCAAACGGGGTAATAAGGAGATGCATTTTAAAGGTCGGTGTTGAAAGGACAGAGAGAAAGATGGAGAAGGAGGGGTGTAAGAAGAAAATAATGAAAGAAGAAAGAAGAAAGGAAGGGAAGTGGGAAGAAGAGGAAGAGGGAAGGGGAGAATAGGAGTGGTTGAGGGAGAAGGTGCCCCTTTGCTCATCCTTCAATGAACTGTTCTCCATTGTCAACTGTCTACACTAGTACTACAGTAAAACTCGGTTATAGCAAAGTTCTGGGGACCTGAGAATTTACTTCGCTATATCCGTAATTCATTATATCCGTATAACAAATTCGTTAAAGTATACATAGCGACTTCGCAATATAGATTTTTTTTCCTTGAAGTATATGACTACCAAATGTAATTACCTTGGAGTTCAAAATTTTTTGGGATGAATAGTGTTCTAAATATATTTACTTACCAAATAAATGTCAGTTCAATATTTTAAAAACTTAATTCTTTAAAAATTTGCTATAAAAGATGTAAATTTCGTTATTTTTAACTTCTAGGGGACACAGAATCAGTTCGCTATTAAATTCATTATATCCGAGTTCGTTATATCCGTAATATTTTACAAGGAGTTGTTAAGAATTTCGCAGGGGATTGCAAAAAATATCAGTAAATTCGTTATATCCGTGTTTGTAGTAAACGAGTTTTACTGTAGTGCATTCTTTATCTCGTACGAGATGGACTTGTGTTTAATTTAAAGACAAGATTAATTCCTTCTCTACCAAATAAGAATGAAAAATAAAAAGCTAGAAGAACATGGAAATACACAGAATGCAAAATTTACACTCTTTCCTCGCCCATTTGTCCACAAAGTAAGACAATATCAAAGTGAGATCATTAGATACATCAAAATATCATGTTGGTATTTACGCTGAAATTAAATCTTTTTAGAAGTCATGCTATGAACAAAGAGAAATTAATGTTATCAAACTATACAAGGTTATAACAGTTACAGGTCTCATAAAGTTATTTTATTTATTAAACTTTAAATACCACTGATCTGAAGAAATAACAATTTCAAGAAATGAGTTCATAAAATCCTTTCCAACAGATTTCGATTTTAGATGAAATATATGGAGATAACGAACAGTATTCAAGCTCAAACGTCCATTATACAAAACAAAATAGGAGCAGAGCAAACACGGACCTCCAAACATCAGAAGTGGGATCAGGTGCCATGGAGGAGTGAGCATCCCCTGCCGACCGGTCACACCCGCCGTGTGCTCCTTGTCATGATCGGGAAATAACGGAAAAATCCGTCGACAATTCAGTGTGTAAATAATGGCCTAACAATTAGTATGAAAAACGTCAGTCAGCATTTGACTCAATGATAAATTGTATTTGCTGACAAGGTCATTGTATCGACCATAGAACTTACGAAATGATGACTTTAAACGAGACAGCTGATATTCTTGTTTCATCAACTTATTTGTCAATAATTTACCTCGTTTTAGAAATTGTACATACGTAGAGCATGCTCTTGCGTATCGAATCAACTGAGAGATATATACCCCGTATGCAGGTGATGAAGGTATATTGCTGCATAAGTAAGGGAAGTTGACGATTGAAAAGTTAAAGTCATCACGTTTATCATAAAGTTTGGTTGTTAGATTACCATTAACGTCTTTTTCAAGTAAAATATCCAAATATGAAACAGATGTGTCAGACTCTGTGGTATCTTTTATCTCAAGTTCACCAGGATATATCGTATCGACATAAGAATGAAAATAGCCATTGTTAATTGACAATACGTCGTCGATATATCTAAATGTCGAGTTGAACGCCACAGCAAGTGTTTTCTTCTTTTCACGTACAAGAAGTGATCTCTCGAATAAGTTTTATATCAAGTTATATTTAAATAAAACAAAGAAACCACATCATCTCTGCAGGAGAAAATTAAAAAAAAATTTCAAGAGTTCATGAGGTCTGAACTTGCACTGTCAATACTTTTAATGCTTTTCAGAGAGGATGGTGAATATAAATAATATTATTCACAGGTACGTTGTTTTCTAAATGCCTTAAGTAAGTAAATTGAGTAAGTAAGTAAGTAAGTAACTAAGTAATTTTACCTGAATCTCTGAGAAACATTGACATCTCTTCATCTCTGTCTGTTTAAAACAGAAGTACAGGTTCATGTTATATTTTAGATTTATTTAGTGTCAAAAAGTGTCCCTCATAAATCACATTAACTTTTTCCCCATTAGAAAAAAAATGTTCTACGTACATGGTCTTTTAGAAATGTGAAATAATGTAGAGAACTAGTTTTGAATAATTTACTTGTTTACCTCTATAGGTATCAGGCAAACTCCCAGCGTGGCCTTCAAAGGAATCTTAATGAAAGGTAAAATTGAAATGAATTATGAATGTGTATAATGAATAAAATGAAACGTTGTACAAGACTAAGAACGCTTTTTTGTTGTTTTGAATACTAGTTAGATTTGTGATAAGATTATGGCTTTTAAAATCGTTTTGTTGATGCTAACACATAGTTATATGAACGATTATCCGCTAGTGAAGTAAAATGTGTGCAATGTGAATTTTATATATATATATCACGATTATAGTCACTTGACTTCATTTTTTGTATTCCAATACATAGTTAATCAAAATTTATAATAATCAAAAGTTCATCTTGAATTACAAAACATATTATTGACGTACTTTTCAAGGCCATCTTCTAGAAATGTCAAAGGTTTCATTGAACTTTAAATTTTTGCAAAGATGTTTGTGAATATACTTGTAAAAATATGTAAAACGTCTTTTACCTTCTGGAAAGAGCTTCATCCTTCTAAATTTTCGAGCTGAAGAAAAAGAAGTGATTCATAACTACAATATTTATCTATACAGGAAAGTGTATCAAGATTCACCCAGATTTTATCACTATAATTATTATTATATGTGTGTAAAAATGCATATTATTCCTTTGGTTGAACTTATGTATGTAACACTCCTCTTATTTAATCTGAGCAATTCAGAAGTTTTATTGATATCCTTTGTGTATTTTTTTTCCTTTCATTTTTTGTAATTTTTGTGTTATTTTCTGGCATATCTGCACTTAATATTTCTTTTTTTTTAATATCAATTCATGTCCATGTATTCGTTTTGTTCTATTTATATAAAGAATTTTGCTACTATCCCTACCAATTTTCTAGAGTGAACTTTTATCCTATCAAATTTATTCAGTCTCAAGACTATTGTCTACTAAATTTTTAATATCTTGTGTATCAATTTCATTGTTCCATTCTTTATTATACAATGTGACATTATACATTCTAAGATAGAATATAATCAAAAGCATACGACACTGCTGCTCTTATTTCTCCAGTGTCCAACCTTTTAAGCGCAATTTTAACGCCTCTTAATAAACACGTAATATTGATTCATTTTCTAAAAATATTTTGTAACATTTTGTCTACAGCTTGGTCAATATGAGATTTGTAATATTTTGTAACCAATTGTCTACAGGTCAATATGATATTTGTAATATTTTATAACCTATTGTCGACAGGTCAATAATATTTGTAATATTTTGTTAACAAACCCATTATGTCTTCTTATCCTTCCTTTGATCCTAAGAACATTTTCCTTTCATCCTGTAAACATAAATATATCACACATTCCTACTTTCTGATTCCCACAATCAAAGTGACACTAACTCTCATATGAAGTCTTGCGTAATCGAGGTAACTTAAATAAATTGAAAATACAAAATTTAAAATCAAGATGTAATTTAAAGGTGTTATCACAAAAAGATAATTACCTTGATTAAAATTTGTGTCCTATTTTCCTATTTTTATCCCATGTTCAACAGATTCATTCTGCCTGACGAAGAAATATAGCGTCCCGCCCTAATTCTAAAATTTATCTGCTCATAACTATTGTGTATTTCTACCGATAACACATTCGGTATCCTTCTTTTAAAAGCCTTATGTTATCATTCGAATGATTGAATAAAAGAGATATAATTGATTACAGCAGCTTTTGTTTCTAATGGCGTTAAATAGGACATCTAACAAATCTAGTATTTAAATACCGTTCATTGTGAAACAATCACACAGGTTATTTCCATGGGTTAACACAAGTCTTAATGGCCGTCAAACGTTTGCATCCTCCATCATGTCTGCTCTTATAGATGACGAAATTGAATATTCGGAGGAGGAAGATGTGAGAGAAGCTTCACCAACGGTATGTAAAAAAAATCAAGGCAAACAAAAGAAAAGTTTGCAAATTTTAAGTGTCAGAGACTGATATTTTTATATATCTATGTATTACAGCCATTACAAACGTTGCCGGAAGAACCAAGTGACCTTATAGATCCAGGTAAGTTTTGCCTCCAGAATTTTCCAATTTTTTTTTTTGCACACAATGGAATATATATTATTCAGAGAAATTATTTTACAATAATTATTCTTTTCAAATGTTACTTGATTGCTCAAATATATTTAATGATAAACATTTTCGTTTGGAAAAGTTTTATCATTTTATCCATGAAATGCTTTCAAAAAATATTCAAGAAACTAAAATGTAATCATAGGTGAGGTCCTTGTACCGACTAATCTGAGGGCTGACATGGGTGCAACAGAAATATTATTAACATGGGGGCCTCCACAAGGAGTGAGAGGACTCATGTCCTACGAGGTGGAGTGGAAGAAAAAGACCGAGTCAGAGTGGACAAAGGCGCTGACAAAGGATCACAGGTACCTTCTTAAAGACCTTCCTGCAGATACAGATTTCGACATTAAAGTTTCTGCTTATGAGAGGGCCCGTAAACCACCACCCCCTACTCCACCAGAAGAGGAAAAAGAGGAACAAGAAGAAGAAAAAAGTGATTATTTTATTTAGAATATATATATATATATATATATATATATATATATATATATATATATATATATATATATATATATATATATATATATATATATATATTTTACAATTTATTGAAAATTTATTTTTTCATTTTTTTTTTACTGTGTCTTTTTAGAGCCCTTCGAGCACATGACGCTATTTCCAGAAAGTGAGTAACTAGCATGCCATATGTGATGTTGAGGGTGTTCGATTGGTTGGAAGATTTTAAAAATCTATTTTGATACTTTACTTAAAATTGTCATTTTAAATATAAAAGATGCTATCAAAATTATTTGAGACTAACTAGCTTCATGTAACAGTTGTATTAACTCACTCTTTTTGTTAGATTCAACAGTTAGTCAAGCTGGGAGTGAAGCTGAGTCATTTACACGTAAGATTACCTCCTTAATGATACTATATGATAGTCTGTCTGAAGGAAATTTTGAAATACCGGTATGTGTATAAAATGATTAACCTCTCTTGAAGCAAAAGTTCATGTTATGCATACTGATTGAAGTTGGTATCTGTTTGTCTGTCTGTTAACTTTTCACATTTTAAAAATTATTCGTCTCTATTCAAAGGACCAATTTCAACCAAACTTTCAGCAAAGCCTGCTTAATTTAAGGAGACACAACGATATGAGATAAAATAATTGTACTAAAAAACATGGCATCACTTTGTCGAATAAAACTGATTTATCCTCATAAATTGTAATTTTGTTTAAATTATAGCGCAGTGTCACCAGTGTCACCAAGGATCAACTAGGTCTCCTACAAATGTAAATTTAGAAAAGAAAATTCAAGGTTCATTTAATGAAGTAATTTTCTGTGTAAAACAGACCTATAATGAAATAAAATCGCAAGTACGTGTATTCACATTTAATCATACATAGACTTGGTAATAATAAAGTGTTAACGTTTTACATAAGACCATATATATATATTGGAAAGATCTATTTCAAATCCTGTCCAACAAAGAAAATTATATGCCAAAAAAAAAAAAAAAAAAAAAAAAAAAATAAAAAAAAAAAAATAAAAAATAAAGATAGTTTACGGATATGATTTGTCATTTTCAATAGGAATGCAAAGGAGAAAATCTTTTAAAGTTTAACCCAATGATACAAGCTACATGTAAAATTAATCATAGTCAGAAATCTTTTAAATGTGATACTGTGTTGATCCGTCGACTCCTGGTCAGGACTGAGTTGTAATAGGCGTCCAAAGTTCGACATATACATATAAATGATCTTGAGGAGTAGGCCAAAATTTAAATAAAATATTCCACGGAAGACCATGACTACATAATTGCTTACTAGTACGTAATAATTCTGATTCACAAGCTACCCTATTTCATATAATCAGGTATTTCAATTATCTACATATTTTTTATCGAGAAAGAAAAGGGTAACTTAGATGAGTAATATGTTCCATGTGGCTCTTTTCTTCATAGAACGTACAAAAGAACTAAACAAGATATTAGATGAACTCGAGAAAACATTAGAACTACAAAAACGTAAGTAAACAGAGCCAGGAATGATTTCCTAAAAGATTATAAGCTCCTTTTGTAAATGTACTGAGTAATGTACAGTAACGATAATTGTGACTTAAAAAACAGATAGAATTTTACCATTTTAGGTCTAAACAAAGGTGAAAAGATTCCGAGGCATCTTCGATCTAAGATTCAAATGGGTAAGCTCTGATATAATGATGGCCAAATCCATTTAAGACATTATACACTTTACCATATGTATACATATGTTTAGATATCCTCAATTTGTTCTACAGATATTCTCAATTTGTTCTACAGATATCCTCAAACCAGTGAGAAGGAAAAACTGTCCAAAACGTAAGATATTTCTGCGATCCTCATTGAAAACGGATGGACCTGCATTAGAGAATCACAGTCCATAATGACGGCACTGAATGGAAATGCTGTTATTTTTATTTACGTAATTACATGTATTTTTAATTTTTCATTTGAAGTTTATTATCTCTTTTTTTTTACAGGGATTCTATTGATAATTACGAACGAAATGTTTGCCAGATCTCCCCATTTATCATCAGCTGCAAAAGTGCAAAGTAAGGGTTTGTCATTATTAATTATAAAACTCTGTTAGAATTGGTAACTTTTCTTTACTCCATTTATTATGAAAACTATAATTCATACGCTTAAACATTTAATAAGCACATTATTTCATCAAAGGAAACATTACGAATGGAAATTTTAAAGGTGAACATGTGTTAGAAATTCAATCTGTATACATATTTTCTTAAAGACAAAAATGAGATCATTATTTTATAATAAAATGCATTTTTGATTTCTCTGCATCAGTCATGTACAATTTGGATCAATATTTGGACTTTGTAGAAAGTTCTGATGCTTCTTTAAAAGATGAGAAACAGGTCGTGTGGTAAATGATTGACTTTTTGCAGGTGAAATTACACGCTTGTTCGAGCGCGATTGGAAAGTAGAAGGTGATTATGTTAGAAGAATAAAGAATGGTACAAGGGCATCAATTCTTAATGAAATAGACAAACTTCGACAAAGACTTGATTTTGACAGTCATCGGATGTTTATTTGCATTATTCTCAGTTATGGAAATATAGAAGGATTTCGGACAATGGACGAAGAAATGATTGAATATCAAGAAATATTTTCTTTGCTGAATGGAAAAAACTGGTTGCATTTCAATGAAAAACCTAAATTTTTCTTCATCGATGTTCACCCTATGAAGATGGAACGACACGGTAAGACATTGGAATTTGTTATTATTCTTATTGAATAAAATGTAGCAAACCTTAAAGGTAAAGGCCAGGAGTCCAAAATTGTTGGGACCAAAATAAATGCCATATCACAAGAAATAGATATGTGATATATGAAAGCCATTGCACCAAGCATTCTAAAGCTAAGGTTAAAGATTTTCCAAAATAGGTCTTACTCCAAGTTCAAGGTCAAAAGGTGAAAAATGTTGATATCCAAAGAAAGGTCTGGTCACATGGAATACGCATGTGAAACATGGAAGCCCAAGCATTTACCATTTAAAAGTTATGGGCAAAGTTAAAGATTTTGCTGACACAAAAGATTAACGGACAAATAGACAGACAGACAGACAGACGGACAGAACAAAACATATATGCTCCCGAATCTTCGATTACAGGGGCATAATTAAATGAATTATGTTAGTAAACTGGAATTTAATTTCAAGTTCAAGGTAGGTTGCAGAAAAAATAAATAATTTTTATCTGGTCCATAACTTTCCTAATGGATGAACATGAAGGGTGAAGATAACGAGATTGTTGATATCCTTGTATCATCAAATTGTCTGTAAATAGTTTGCCTCGTTTTGTAAATTGTTCGTACGTAGTATATGCTTTTGCATATTAAACTGAATATTACTACATAAATAAGGGAAATTGACGATAGAAAAGTTGAAGGCACCACGTTTTTCATGAAGTTTAGGTTTTTCTTTGATTGTTTAACATCCCTTCGACAATTTTCCATTCATATTTAAACCCCACCTATTGCCTGTGGAAATCTGCAAATTTAGATGAAATTTAGATCAATTTAACACACGTTTTCAATTTCATTCGTTTTTTATTTTTTTATTTTAGTTATTGTTCAGAGAAAACACAAACCTTTTCCAAGTTTCAATGGTATTCAAAGTGAACCCCCTCCGCCCTCTCCCAAACAAAACGGGGAAAAATACAATGATACATGTGGAATATGGAGATAACGAACAATACTCAAGCCCAAAAGTCCAATCAAACAATACAAATCAGGAGCAGACCAAACAGGGACCTCTAATATAAAAGAGGTAGGATCAGGTGCCATGGAGGAGTGAGCATCCCCTGGCGACCGGTCACACCCGCCTTGTGTTCCTTGTCAAGATTGGGAAAAACGAAAAAAAACCCTTAGACAATTCAGTGTGTAGATAATGGCCTAACAACTAGTATGGAAAACGTCAGTCAGCATTTGATTTAATAATAGATTGTATTTGGTCACAAAGTTATTGTATCGACCATAGAACTTGTGAAATTATGACAAGATTGTTATTATTTCTTCAACTTGTTTGTCAATAGCTTGCATCCTTTTAAAAATTCTTCGTACGTAGAGCATGCTCTAGCGTATCGAATCAACGGAGAGACAAAACCACATATGCAGGTGATGAGGGTATATTGCATAATATAGTAAGTGAAGTTGACGATTGAAAAGTTGAAGGCATCAGGTTTCTATGAGGAGTTCTGAAAGTTCTTTGATTTTTTTGGGTGGTTCTCTGATGATCTGATGAGAAAAACCAAATTGGCTAAAAACTTAATGTTCATATGTGGTTTATATAAAAAATGAGTTACTGAAACAAACGCTTGGAAGGATTTAGATATTATCATTAATACAGAAGAATTCTACCACGTTGCTGCATATTTCACCAGCTTCTGATACCCAAGATTATTCAATAGGAAATATAACATTGTATTTCACTTAGTACCCCACTAACAGATTTAAAGAAATATCCTTGTAAAACTTTTGACCCCTAAAGTGTCTTCCCTATGCTCAAATGTTCAGCTAAATGAAGAAATTCTTTAACACTTTTCTTTAAATATAGGTAGGTGAAATATACATGTTTATGCAAAACATGTATTTTGTATTTCTAAAGAAAGTTCAGGTATACATGTATATTGTTGATCCGTCCGTCCTTCCGTCTTTCACACTACTTCTCGGTTAAGCTCCTCTTACATTTTAAGCAGTTGTCAATTCATCTTTTGAAATATGAATGTTCGGATCCTGTAGATGTTCGATAAGATTAAAGAATTTTTATTTGTTTTCCGTAAGCCAACTAAGGGTCGAAAAACGTTTTTCTACAAAGAATATATTTCCAAATCCGACATATTTTAATGCTGTCTTATGGAATATAAAGAACGGTATTCTGCAGATGTGCAATAAGGTTTCGGGATTTCATTTTCATCTGAGAGGCCAACTGGGGGCTAAAATTTTAATCACTCCTCCCCATTTTTTGTCACAAAAATTTCTTACCAATATTCTTTTAACAGAATAATTCATTCATAAAATTCTTTAATGATACCCAAACTTTATTAAAAAAAAAAAAACAACAAAAAAACTGGGGTTTATTTTTGCATTCCATGATCGTCTGCCCCTCTATCACACTTTCCTCTTCCTCAAACTCCTCTCATATTCAAGGAGTAGCCACTTCTTCTTTTGGACTAGATTGTGGTGCCTTGTAGTTGCTCAATAAGGTTTTGGAGTTTTCCTTTTCACCGTGGGGCTAATTTCGGGTCAAACACATTTTCCATACAAAATCTCTGCTCTTAGAACTCTTTCATGTTACGAAGTAGTAAACCCGTCTTTTGGAATATGAGCAATGGTGTACCAAGATGTGCATTAATGTTTCAGAATTGTCAATTTCACTCATTTGCCCATGGGGTGTCGAAAAATCGACATTTTTCTATAAAAAGCTGGGTATCAAGAACTCCTGTTATATTTATGCGGTAGCCAAATTTTATTTTTAGAAAACGCTTTGTTGTGTCTTGTAGATGTGCATTAAGGTTCTTGACATTTTCATCCAGGAGGCTAATTGAAGTCCGAAAAATTTAAACGTCTTTTTTCTTTGTTTTTTTTCACAAAACGATTATCTTCCAAAATTCCTTTTCAAAGATAACCTTAAATACATCTTAAAATATTTTTAACTTCAGACTAGTAATGAATCTATTACATGAAATACTAACATAAGAGGTCCCTGTGCATATGCATACCTAATCATTTTATGCACAATTGGAAGCATGTTTATTTATGTAATGATAGAATCAATATTGTGGTTTCTTGAGGTATCCAGGTAAGAAGGAGGGTGCATTTAGAGGCAAACTCTTATATGCGTGTACTGCTGTCTTATGACAGCATCTTGCTTCACACTGCTGACGAATTTATTATTTGCTGGATGTTATTTATTATGTGAGCAACTCAAAACACTGAGATGAATTTGTAATAAAACATTTGCAATTGATCAAAGTATATTTCGTTGAAAACACACAATCATAATTATAAAGACTCATTTATCGTTGTAAGTATTGCATTGCAAAATAATGGGTGGACACAGGACTTTTTTCTAAATTTTTAATACTTCGCATTCGTACGTACCTGAAATAATTAATGATAAATACGTGATTTTTGTCTCTAAACTCCTTTTTAATTTAAATTGAAGTTAAATTAGCTAAGACAAACACGTCTAGCCAGAATGCCAATGAAGTTTAATGTACTTATTTCGTTGAAGGCCAGTATCCTCAAGATATCCATGTCAATGAACGGTCTCAAGATGAACTAGAGGTCACCTGGCATCCCCCTAAAGCTTTCCAGAATTCAAATTTGAACTACCTTGTTAACTGTTACAAAGTTGATGAACAGAAGATACATACTAAAATCCATGAAGTCATTGCCGATACAACTAAGTGTGTTCTCGATCATCTTGAAAAAGAAGTGACTTATAAGATCAGTATATGGTCTATGCAGGCTTCAACTCAGAAGAAGAAAGGACTCCCTAGTCAGACGAAGTATATGATAAAAGAGAAAGGTTAATATACAAACCTGCAAAATATTTCACACTGATAATACCTTAATCAGTCATTTAAAAAAAATTAGTTTGGAAAAAAAATCACTTTACATGATTGATATAAGCTAAAGTTGAACGCTGAACGGGTTTATATTTTAATACCTAAAGTTGGTGTAATTTCTAATTTAGCCGAGGAACCTCAAAAGTTGAGAGCAGTTTCAACGTCATATGATTCGATAACTCTTTATTGGCCTCTTCCATTAGAAGGAAGACAAACACACTATTATGCCAAATATAGGGAGAAATCGTCAACAGACCCTTTCAAAAGAACATATTTACTCTTAAATGAAACGGAAGAAAACCAAGTCCATATTCTTAACTTTTTGAACAGTAACACGGAATATGTTATTAAGATATTTGCTGAAAAATTGAAGATTCTGAATGAAGTGACAGTCAAAACGTTACCTAAGCGTAAGTATGAAATAACCTTCAGAGAATATTTTTGTGGACAGTTTGTATAAGTTAAAGTCCTAGAACGACGCATCATCAGAGATATGAATGTCTGCCCACTAGTGGAGATTACTGTCATGCACAACGTTAACAGTAAAAATAAAATTTGGAAGATTTCAATAAATCTTTATAACAGTCATGTATATACACAAAGCAATATTTTCTCATATTGCAGACATGGACAATTTTTTGAACCTCAGTTAATTTTTATGCCAAGTGAAGATTATGAATTCGGAAAGCCTCTACTTTCCAGAATTACATTGATAATAGATAAATTTTTATATATACAAAATCAATCTAAACTGATAGTTAGCTCAAATCTCTTGAAAATATGTCTTATTTGCCTACTTTATATGGAATTATTTACAAATTTCAAAACTCCTAATAACAGAAAAATAGGTAATCATGGACGCACTTCACATTTGAAATATTCGTTTTGATTAGATCAGCCTAGAGAGCTCCGAGCAAAGCGTGTAACTCCTTTTGAAATTGAACTTGAATGGGAACCTCCAAACATCTCCCTCAGAAAGGTATATACCTACACTATTTCGTACCATTCCAAGAATTCCCCAGTAAGCACAGTACAGACAAGGAGAGACGTGTATGTTTTGAAGGAATTGGTTCCTGACGTCGTATATACAATTTGGGTAGCAGCCGAAAAAGAGGGTCTTAAAGGGGACCCAACAGATCCCATAGAATGCCACACACCACGTTGTGGTAAGTGTTTTCTCTATCAAGTAAATGCAGTTTAATATTTCTTCACAAAGTTCATATTGTTTATAATTATTAAAAATAGGTCCCCAGAATCTACAAGTAGATGCTCTTGAGCGACAAATTCGTGTTTACTGGGACGAAGCTATTGTACCAGCAGAAACAGAGAGCCTGAATTACAGAGTGTGTCTTCAGAATGATAACAATCGCGCAATAGAAGGTGAAGTACTTCCAACCCCGGAAGCCAAATATGATTACGCTTGTTATTTCCGGAATTTATGGACAGATACCAATTATACTCTAGTCATGACGACCATAATAGATGAAGGCGACTGGGATCCGCCTACAGAATTGCATATCAAAACTAGAAGAGGTGAGAGAGGCTTTGGTAAAAAAGTAAAATATTAGTAACGTTCAGTAATAGACATTTTTCATTTATATGAGAGAGAGAGAGAGAGAGAGAGAGAGAGAGAGAGAGAGAGAGAGAGAGAGAGAGATAGAGAGAGAGAGAGAGAATCTTCAACGTCTAATGTTATTTCTTATTTATCTTTTAAAGATCCACATATTAGTGATCTAGAACCCCATGCTAATAATTTTCTGGTTACCTATTCTAACACACTTGGAATAGAAGTTGGTGAGAAGAAAGTTGGGGGAATATTTTTACCAACACTTTTAGAGAGTCTACGAGAACATTATGACTCGTAAGTGAAAAATCTTTATATATTTCTTTTTAAAAAAGGAAAAAGTAAACTTATTTAATTGTATATCTTAAAAAATCTTATTACAAACTAACTGATGTTTGAAAGTTGCATTTAATGGGAAAGTAACGTTGTAATTTGCATGCAGGAAAAATATCGTGGAAATCATGGAAATTGTTGATGAAGAGGTTCAAAATCGAAGTGCAGTAACTGGGAAGATAAAGAAGGTCTTAACAGTGAACACACTGCTTGCTCGTCCACGATTTTAACATATCTCTTGATATGTTCTGACGGTGACCGCCGTTTCAACGTATTTTCAACCAGTACATCAATTGGAATCCTGAGACACAATATATGTTATTGTGCTTTAAACCAGAATCTCTAAAATTCTTAGCGATCTTTTATACATGTGTATATAAGGATATTAAACATATTAGAAAAACGTAATTATGTTTTTTTAAGTACTGTCAATATTATAAAGTCTTCAGTTGAAAGTGATTGACAACTTTATATTTATTTGTACACCGTCTCTCCGCTGTTGATTTTCATCCTTATACATATATACTGGTATGTATATAAAAGGTGGAAATAACAAACAGTGATTAATTTCATTAATCCAGTAGAGAAAACGAAACGTGAACAGGACACAAACATTGACCTCTGGAATCACCAGAGGTGGGATCAGGTGCCTAGGAAGATCGAGTAAGCATCCTCTGTTGAGTAAAAGCACTGATCTAACAAATGCTATAAAACATGTCAGACCCCCCCCCCCCCAAAAAAAAAAAAAGACCAAACAATAGGTTTTATTTACAAACAAGGTCATTAGAACGACCGTAGAATTTGTGGAAAGCTTACTCTAAACGGGGTTGTTGAAATCCTTGTAACATCTATTTGTCAGAAGCTTGCCACGCTTTAAAAATTGATCGTATTCAGAGCATGCTCTTTCGTGTCAAATCAGTTGGGAGACATGAATACCATCTGAGGTGATGTTCGGACTGAAAAATGAGAATAGTTTTTATGTCAACATTTCATATTAAATAGGCATATAACTTGACCATAGGTACCACTTAACCTCCTCCTCAAATATATACCCCTTATATACGTTTGTAATGATGTAAGATAATTTTCATACATGGCCATGTGGATCTTGTCACAATTTTCCATTACACAATATCCTTTCATAGAAAATCAATGTTTCCTTATGGTAACCTGATAAATTTGTGTGAGTTAATCAGACTTAACTCAATATGAGTTAAGTCATATTATGGAAATGAGTAGATCAACTTCTTGTAACATAGTCAAAGAAGCATAACTCTTACAACATTATCATTACTGACCTTTGATACTACTCTTTACAATTGTCAAGTTTTGATACCATCCCTTGTTAATGCACATATATATTACGCGCGCGCCAATCGCAAATTCTTTCTGGAATTTCATCTCAACAAAAAATTCAACGACCTATCCACCATAATCCAGTGATCTTCATCCATTCCCGCCATCCAATAATTTGGGTAAAGTATATAATCATAGAAGCTACGGGAATGTTGCGGTGTAGTAAACGCAAATCAAAGTCCCCCTATGCCAGGCCAATCAGGACTCCAGCTGAAAGGGCCATAACTACTCCGACGGTGATTCAGACTTCACAGCCAGCAGATGTCCGGCAATCGGCTAACCAGGCTCCTCACCCATCAGTTGAAACTCTCAGTCCTCCTTCCATAGGGGATCAGGCACCTCAAGTCGAACAAACTATAAGGCAGCCCCCCTCCATGACACAACCTGAAATGCATGTTCAACAAGCTGCTAGTCATCCTCCACTACCTCTGCAGACCATGGACAGTAACCTAGACGTCGCAACACCAGAGCAATCCTTACCAATCACTATGCCAGCAAACTCAGGTGAAACTCCATTAATTAGCATTTCCGATGGGCTTGGGGTTCATGTCCCCCAGGCCATCAAGGAAAAAATATGGTCCAAACAATATATTGATTTAGCTAAAGTCCTTTATTCAGAAATAAACAATCATGACCTCCATAAATTTTCCATTGTTGAAGGACAATTGGTCGTTGAACCCAAAACTAAACCAACAAAATCATTACAATTCAAAGTTGGGTAGATGTCTTTTTGATATTTTCAAGCATATATCTTGCTAGGCACCCTTCAGATATTAAGGGCATATTAAAATATATGCACACGGTACGCCAAGGCTACAGCCGAAACACAAATGCTAACTGGCTTGAATATGACAGACAGTTCCGTCTTAAAATGTCCAAAAATACATGCATTTCCTTTGGATCAGTTGACGCAGAGTTGTGGTTAATATACATGCAGGCGCAACCTAATCACACTGCTCAACACCAAAAGCATCTCTTAAATGTTTCGATTACAATCTCAAAGGCTTATGCTCCAAACCCGTGTTTCTACCAGCATGCATGCATGCACTGCAACAAGTCCAATCCACGTATACACTGTTGGTCCTACCAGATCTAATCCCAACCCTCCGATATCGAGCCAGCAAAATCATAACCAACAGCCTAACATTAGGTTAAACCCAACTCATCCAATCGCGGGTCAGCAAAATTACACCCAACAATCCAACTTTAATTTTCGTCCCTATCGCCCAAGGCAATACCAGTCGCCAAGACCAAGATTTAACACGCATAGGTTCTACTCCAATTAAGCTCCCCGTACTTCAGAAATACCTAGCTCAGTATCCTCAAATTCAAGATGCCCAACTGTTACTTAATGGATTTTCATCTGGTTTTTATCTAAATTATGCAGGTCCAAGAGACTATTTAGAACCAAAACACATGAAGTCTGCTAGGGAACATGTGCGCTAATTATTGGCAATAATTACTAAAGAAATAAAATTAGGTCGCATGGCAGGTCCTTTTCCTAGCCCACAATTTCCCAACCTTTGGTGTAACCCAGTCGGTGTGTTACCTAAAAAGGACTGTGGATGGAGGTTGATTTCAAACCTGTCAGCACCAATTGGCAATAGCATCAATGAGCATATTGACCCAATTTTATTTTCAGTCTCCTACAGTTCATTTGACCAGGCAGTTTCCATGATTCAAAAAAATGGCAAAGGGGTATTACTCTGTAAAATGGATTTGTCTAGTGCATTTAGACTTTACCAATTCACCCAACAGTGTATGCGTATTCAAGACAAATATTATTTCGACATGTGCATGCCTTTTGGTTGCTCCATAGCCTGTTCAACATTTGTAAAATTCTCATCTTTCCTGCACTGGCAAGTAGCACAAAAGGCCCAAAATCAGAATATCATTCATTACCTAGATGATTTCTTGTTCGCTGGGAGACAAAATATTTCACAATGTTCCGAACTCGCCAAAATATTTCAGTTAACCTGTAGTGAGTTAGGCATCCCAATAAATGACAAAAAAAAAAAAACAAAAAAAACAAAAAAAAAAAAAAAAAAAAAAAAAACAAAAAAAAAAAAACAAAAACGAAGGCCCCTGTACAAGATTAAGTTTTCTAGGTTTAGGGATTGACACAATGGAGCAGGTAATCTTTATTCCTGACAACAAGGTTATAGAACTTCAGTATAAACTTACATCGCTCGTCTCTTCCAAAAAAGTAGCCCTCAAAGAAATAGAATCACTATGTGGATCCCTAAACCTTTTTGCTAAAGCCATCCCAGGTAGCAGAGCATTTAATCGCCGGTTTTACAATACAACAATTGGCATTAAGAAATATTACTTCTTGATTAAGGTTACACAAGCTGTTATAGAGGATGCTAGGGTTTGACTTACATTTCTCAAAGACTACAATGGGCATTCGCCATTCCCTGAACTATCTTCGTCAAGTAACGAGTCCCTTAACCTTTTCACCGATAGTTGTGGACTTGTTGTTCCTACGGTGGAGGTGCAATTTTTCAGAATCACTGGGGAGTTATTTCCTGGCCAGCATCATGGGGTCCAGATATTCGTAGGGATATCACTTTTTGGGAACTGGTGCCTATTCTCTTAGCTATTTGGGTTTGGGCCGATTACTTTACCGCAAAAAAATTATTGATAAATACTGACATCATCGCTTTAGTTCACATTTTAAATTCCCAGACCAGTAAGTCTCAGAGGGTCATGACATTATTAAGGCCATTAATATTGTTATGCATTAGGCACAACATTCAGATTAAAACTATTCATATTCCAGGTTATCAAAATTCAACCGCAGATTCAATTTCTCGATTTCAGTGGGAAAGATTCAGAACCTTGGCTCCTCAAGCAGACAAGATTCCAGCCAGTATACCTCCGGCATTATTGTCTCTCTTAGACCACATGTAGAAAGTTTGCTTGAAGCAGCAGTATCAAAAAACACTGCTTCAACTTACCAAAAGGGCATCAGCTCCTTTGAAACCTTCCGTTCTAAATACAATTTTGACTTGTTTTGGCCTCCACCCGTCCACCAGATCATTAACTACATTGCATATCTCAGTGCAAATCAAACATCAAATTCAACAGCAAGATGTTACTTAAGCGGTATTAGTTACAAAATCCAGTGTGAAGGGGGAATGGACAACACTAAAGCCTTTATAGTTAAGAAAATGTTAGAAGGTTTCCGTAGGCTAAATCCGACAAAAGACCTTCGATCCCCAATCTCTTTACAAATGCTTCATCAAATGATATCAATCCTACCCACAATGTGCTCAAA